AAACATGTGTGAAAACAACTTTACAACATTTATTAGAAACTAGCATAATATGGGCACTTTAATGTGATATTTTTGCACAATTTTTATGACAAAGCCTCACAAAGTACAGCTATTTTGGGCACTTCCCGCTATAATCCTTGTATCATCTGATCTTCCACCAGCCAGTGCCAGTGTAACGTTTGCTGTTTATAGGAGCGTTGGGAAAGTGCCCGCTTGTGTAGACAGAACCCGTGTCTCACATATGGAAAAAGGGGAAGTTTGTTTAACCTGATTGTCTGTGCTTTTCATCAAACAAACACAAAGATGCACAAGAACAACACGCACAGAGCTGGACAGGAAGAGGTCCAGAGACGGTCCAATCAGAGAGAGAGCCTCCATCATCAGGCCTGTAACGTTAACACAACAGAGGTGGGGCTATGGCTGAGGCCCTCTGGAAAATGGAAGCAAAAATAATGAAAGCAAATTCACTCTAGAATTTAATTTTGGAAATGCTTGTTAATGTTGAACTGATCTGGAAAATTATTTTTACGTGGAATTTCAAACAGTGTGCCATTATGCGATAACTGATCACGCATACATTTGATTTAATTATTTCCCATTTTAGTGTTTTTCTTCAAAGTGCATTGCGTACATGTTCAGGTTGGGGTTCCGCTACCATGGAGATGCTATTGCAAAGCAATAGCATCTCCATGTAATGTTTCACAATATTATATTAAACTTATATAAGATGCATTTATTCAATTATGGCGGTTTTTATTGCTCATAAATACCTTTAAAAAATGCTTTCTTGTGAGTGAGGTCGCCTTTTCACAGATCTCTCTCGTAAGTTGACCTGGAGGAGTCTCCTGCTTGTTTCTACGGAGACTGAAAAGCTTAAAGCCATACTTTGGAATATTGGTGGTAAAGCAATAACATTTCCATTGAGACAAGTAACTGGCAGGGCCCTCTACTAGAAAAGTTACACATTGCACCTTTAAGCAAACCTCACCAGAGAGCAAAACAATCATCACTGACAAACTCTAAGAAACAGACAGTGGTGTGGACAATATTCAGCAACTTATATAACCCTAAAGATGATCAAAATAAGCTGCCCTCTGCAGGACACTCTCCACATTCTTTTTTAAATCGGGTAAATGCTGTCATGATGAACGCACTGGAACAATTAGAAAATGACCACACCGGATTGTACTCTACAGCCTAATAATAAAACAAAGACCGGACCTGGAGTGGGTATTGTGAGGTGGTGGTTGCATCGCTACTGTCCCGTACCTTTTATAGCACTAGCCTTTTCGCTAAAGGTCACATCTCTCACTTAGGCTGGTGGCTAAATGTCGTAGCATTCGTGTGACCTTCCCTAACCATCCGCTAATGATCCACAGACAGACCGCGGCATCGGAGCCAGGAAACGGTTGGAATATTCACCCAAATTATCAACCCGCTTCACTCAGTACTGTCACGCCGGATGGCATTTAAGGATTCCTGGAAAAATTATGGTAGAATTTAAATCAGCAGAGTCACAAATCAAATCACAGGAACCATAAAATTGGACTATTTCACTAAGAAAATTCTACCTTTTTAAATTAAAGTTCTTGTTTTATTATCAGTGAGACAATTAAGTTAATTAAATTCATAGATTTAATTAACTGAGGTGATTTAATGTTTTCACCTAATAAATAGTTAACATAATTCTATGACAATAAAACTAAAATTGACTTTCTAAGTTTAAGAATTCAATTTGATCATATAACCCTACTTACTTATATTTAAAGATGCACTGCGCAATATTTCTAATGGAGGGTCTATCACATGGTTGTCTCCATGGTAATGTTATTGCTTTGTCGAGAATGTTCCACAGTATAGATTAATCCTGTCTATCACGAGGAAGATGAGCAGGTTACAGCACTCATTACAGTTCAGTTCTGTGGAGAGTCGCTCCTAATCACAGAAGGAATTACTGTATTTTTAAGCAATAGAAACACAAGTAATGAATAAATGCTAAATGTATAGAATTATTGGCATTATTGACATACTAAGAAATCTCCATGGACACAAGCAGGTAATGAAAAAGCAGCAGAAAAGTTGCGCAGTGCATCTTTAAGACTAGAAATGGGGACACTTCAGCTTATACACCTGAATGAGAGACAGTATTCCGTGGTGTGGGCTTGTGCTTTGTATGAGCGCGGTGTTGTCTGACCCATATTCCCTCCCACAAGTTTTGTTTGTGTTTTATTTACTGCCAAAGTTTGTGGAGTGACAGGACAGCTGCAGGCTCTCTCTCCTCTTCTCATCCACACATCCTGCTCCTCGGCTCTCCTCTTTTAAACATGAAGCGCACAAAGCCTATCTGCCCTGATTGCTTCCTCTTCCTCTGTTTTATCTCCACAGGATGTAACAGCAAACTCCAGAGGTGAAAAGCATTATTTCAAACTAAACACTGAGCATAGGTATAGACAGTCAGCAGTGTGAAGCCAATGAAATCAATATACAAACAGATTTTAAAGTAGGCTTGAATACAGATATCAATACTATCAATACTACAATTACAAGCCTGTATTGATCTAAACTAGTTTATCCTCACTTGGTTTGAAAATTACACTATTTTGCCATTGTGTTATATCCAGTATTCTGTGTTTTCATTAGTATCAAAATCAAGTTTGACATTTTAGTTTTGCTATATTACAAGTGTTCACAACTATGGTCAGCACATTTTCATATAGGTCAAAATTATGCAATTTTGGCTACGTTCAGGCTGCAGGGCTTGATGCTCAATCCAGATTTTTTGTGAAATCAGACTTTTTTGCGAGGTTGTTCACATGTCCAATTAAATGTGACTTGTATGTGATCTACAGTGTGAACTTTAAACGAACCAAAAGTGTCCCGCATGCGCATTGGAGGACACGATGACGACACACACAGCGAACATACTCAGTGTTTACATAAGTTGCAAAAACATTGGGCTTGTCTCCCAAAAATAAGGTCCAGTTCTTTGTAAAAGGGACAGGTTACACGTCCACTGTCGCTTCGTTTGTTGAGTCTTTAGCCTCCTTGTATTTGGCTCTCAGCCTATTTATTTTTTGTTGACAATGGAGCTAGGGCCGCCTGTAGCCACGCTCGGCCATTTCTCTGGCAATCATTTCAAAAACCTTCCAGTTCCGATAAGACCCCTTCAATACAGCGATTCCCACAAATATTACTAAACTCGTTAACCTCACTTTCCCTCCATTGACGAGACCCTGAGCCTGACGTGTAGGTTGGATGAATGCGACCGGGCTGTTCAGACTGAAGTCGCATGTCAAAAGATTGGATATATCGGTTTTAGGAGCACATATCCAAGTGGCCTGGGAAAAAATCTGATCTTTGTCGTTCAGACTGTCATTAAAAGATCAGAGGCAGGTCGCATAGGAGCAAAAAAGTCAGATTTGGGTCGCTTCAGGCTGCAGTCTGAACGTAGCCTTTGAGATATGCACACTCATTTTTAACTAAAAATGTAAGTATATGGTTAACGTTGTCTTGAAGGAAGTGTAAATGCATTTTTATCTCTAAACTATATCTTTTTTACCTACATACAAGAAAGAAATATTGTACTTTACACTATAAAATACATCACTTTAACAATTGAGATGTGCCCCCATATGGAGAACCCAATCTGCATATTGAATACTGTGGATACACATGCTCAATCTACAGCTCGTCTATAATCTACCTAAAGTCATGAAAAGAGCCAGACTCCAGTAAATCAGCGCTCCATCTAAGCCATAGCTGCCAACTCAACCAGAACCACATGGGCCTGCTGTCAAGAAGAAGAGGCTGTGCTATTAAACTGGGAAATACGGTAATGACAGACAGAATATACAGCCAGACATCTTTGGACAAGGGCTAAAATAAGAAAGTCTTAAAAGTAATGCGGTACATGTGTGAGGGGATTATATGCAAAGATGTATTTTACCCAACTATGCTAATTTGGTAGTGGCAGGCTGTTGAGAAATGCTGAATTTAAGTGTAGTATTAGTAGTAGCAGTAACTATTTTTATTTTTCAATACATTTTTAACTATACATTTAATATTGAGAATAATGCAAGTAACTGTAACATCTAACAGCAACTTTGGGCCCAAACAAGTAATTCCAAATCTGACAGATAGCTATAAATAAAGGTTTGTTTGTTTTTTCCCACGATTTTGAGTTACAAATTTTTCCAGCTCGTGTATGTCTTGGGGAAGTCAAAATAAACTGTAACTTGAGGAGGGCGTCCATACACACGACCCTTGCCCCAGACTTGAACCCACAACCTCGTCGTAACCCATATTTTAAATTGACCATAACCATTAGGATGTTGGTGGTAGAATAAGGCTTATTTATTTGAGGGCCTATGGGGTGACTTCTCTCTGGTGCAACATTCCGAAATAGTTTTCCCTGTAACTTGGCAACGGAAGGGTGCCCCACTACCCTACATCCTGATGACAAAGGACCCCAGGACTTCCTATGGGGTTTCAAAAGACTACTTGGAAAGAACCTTGAAACACAACTCCAGTATTTATTTTAGTACTGCTTGTATCACTGACTGGACTAAGTATGTTTAAAGTCCCATATTATGCTATTTTCATTGACGTTATAATGTTGTTTCCTCATCAAAAACATAACTGAAGTTGTGTTTTGTTTCATATACACATGTTTAACACACAAATCCTACATATCTTTGTGTTTTTAAACTCCACACACCTTCACTAGAATCATTTGGGTGATTTCAGCGCTAGAAGTGGGTTAGGGTTATTGTCAATCTCTGCTCAACAAAAGGTAAAAGATAGCTGTTAACTTGACTAAATGACGTCCGCTTTAGAGATATGGACAGACAAACAAATCAGGATTATGCAGGCATGTGTAAAAGGGAAAAAAAGGACAACTCCAGGTATGTTTTTGATGAGGGAACCACATTATAACATGACTTAAAGCTCACTAGAGTCAATTTTATAAAATATGGGATCCGTAAGTGTTTTGGACTTACCATGTCTAGTTCTTGTGAGACTCTTCGTTTGCGCAGCTCTTCCATGCGGTCGCTGACGTCGTTGAAACAGGTGTTGTAGTACTCTGCGTACTCTTGAGCAAGGTCATCTATGTTGCCCAGTGAACCATCCTATAGAAACACAGAATAAGAATAGCCTTTAGTACAAAAACAAAGAAACAATGAATCAGCCAGGCCAGTAAGCGTTATACCAGTGTGGAAATTATAAATACATTTTGAGTAATCTTTATTTTCAGTGTACGTCAATACCGTTTTGAGGAATGGCCCCACTGAACTTTAAACCCAATTCCTTTCTGTTAGATAAGAACTTGTTTGGGCTAGTGCATCCTATGTTGACTCCGAGGCCTTCATCTACATACAAAGACTGGAAGTGCTCCAACAACAATCTCCCCAGAGGTCATACAGTCTTTACAAATGATACAATCCAGGAACAGACTATTGCTGAGTAAAGAAAAGACTATATATCATAATTCCTTATAACTGTACACCCGGCACTGACTAAATATGAGGAATTAGGTCAGTAGATAGTGGGATGTTTGTGTAATAATGACTGCTTAATAATGAAAATACGCTGATTTTAGAACATTTTGGTTCTCTTTAAGGCTGCACAAACTATACAAGAGAACACTTAAAGGTACACTATGTAACTTTTCTGGTAGAGTTCACCTCCTGCTTGTCTCCATGAATAAGCTTTGCCTGGAATGTTCTACAGTCTGGTATTAAACTTATCCTTCATGAAGACAGTCAAGGAGGCACTAGACCAGTTTACAGGTCACATCTGCGTAGAAGCACCCACCTCTTACTTAGAATTGTTTATCAATGCATTTTTTGCAATAAAAAAAACACATCTAATATAATAAAAATAAGATAGTTAGATTAATTGCTTTTACACCACGGTCAGTGAGAATTTCAATGGCTAAAAATGGCATTAACACTGTATAATGCGCAAGTACATCACCATAGCAACGAGTAATTGCTGTTGTGTATATTTGTCATTTAATGCTTATTTAAATCAATAAAAATCACCTTGTGGATAAAAAAAGGAGACGTCCCTACCACCAGAAAAGCTCAATAGTGCAGCTTTATGTACCATGCATGCAGTTATACAGGTTTATTGTTTATTTATTGTTATCTTTTCGAATATGGTGCAGCCCTTGTCCTCTGGTCCATGTGAGAGAATCCCAGCTGCTGAATACTGAATGGTGTTGACCTAATCTGTGCCAGGCAGACAGAGAGCATAGAGTCAGTGTGTGCGCTCGGAACAGTCCTCCTCAGTCTACGGCTTTGTGGATGGGTGCTCTTCTCCTTTGGGTGCCAGGCCTCACATGAATAGATCCCTGTGAGCGGACCACCACAGGCTGTGTAGTATATAACCACACCGGGCCGGAGAGATGGCACATTTATATGCGTCGCCGATGTGCAGGAAATGCCTCCACCAAAACACCAAAACAAACAACCCAAGAGCGCAATTAAGAAGCAGTGTTGGGAAATGAAGATGGAAATAACCAAGTATGGATTAAGCATGGGTGATCTTGCTAAACAAACTGAGATTAAACTTGCAAGAGGCTCCATGTTGCAGAATTTTTCAAAATTCAAGACAAATATTGCTAACTTCCGAAAGACAAAATTTCTGCTTAAAGGGGAATCAGCTGGAGAGTCCCCCTGGCTGGAAGGTCCCCAAGGCACCCTTTATGAAACAAAGTAAATGAATCTATATTAAAAAAAAATATAAAATAGAAATAATAATCATCTATATTGTATTAATTACACACACAAGTTACAGTATATCTCAACACATTTGTTCATGTTGAGCATGAACACCCAGCTTTTATCCCCTGTTGCATGACATGACACCTGACATGAGTTGATTATGTTAATGGTAAACAGGGAAGGAAATAATTAATATTTCTTCTCAAATCAACAGTTACTTATGCTATAGGACATGGGAACAAGAAAAATATTATTTAAAATATGATATCATAGTAAACTTCTGCGAGGAAATAAGGATTATATTGATATTACATATTGAAAAAATGTGTGCCGCTTCAGGAAAAATCAGTAAAATGACATAAACAAGGCCTGACATTTGGTCTGGCTACATTCACATTTCATTTTGTTACGATATAGAATGCTGATTTTCTAGTGATTGATTTTGCTTACTAAATCCCTCCTCTCAGTTACCCGTGTGTCGCCCAAGAGAAGCGGGTGCCCGGAGGGAGGAGGGCAAAGCTCGAGCTGGGACTTTCAAGCCAGGGGGACACTTGAGCTGGTATTTGCTTAAAGGTAGAGTGCTACCAATCTGAAAGTTAGTAGCAAGATCCCAGTTTGAGTCTATACCATAGACTATATAAAGATGTGGACTAAGCTCATGAGGCGAGCAGTTATAGGAGTGAATTTGGAGTCAGTAAGATTGATTTATAAATAAAAACACCAGCATCATGTAGAGCGGGTTGATACGAAAATTTTACGATCAAAATGAGGAGCCTGACAGTAGCAGTTAGAGAGAGCAGAGTGACATTTTCTCCATACTGTCTTTGTTTTCCTTCAGTAAGACACTTCACCCGGATCAGCTCCAGCGTTTATGCATGTGTGTGTGTCTGTGTGTCTGTGTGTTGTTTACAAAAATATAAGGGACAAAAACAAGCAGCTTTAATAATATTTTGTCGAGAAAGAGCTGGAATGTAAGGTCATTGCTTAATTTTGTTTACTGATGTGCTCGTAACCTTGTGCTTTTGCAATCTGGGAGTCGCAACTATATGGGCAAAGTAATGTGCTGATTGTTGCTTGTTTTAATTCCATCTATTTAGAATGTAACTCTAAAAACCTAAAATTAACTATCTGGGACTGGCAGGTCACAACACAAACTGTTCCCCATTTTTTGCAATAACCTGAGCTCTGGTTTTAACATGTCATCTCCCAGACTCGTTACAAAATCCGCTACGTTCACAATCTTGTTTGCAGATGTCTGAAATTCCCAGTGGGATCAGACACAAGCTTTACCACTTCGCTCTTGTCAGTTGCAAAAGTACAGCATGTTTTCATTGGTATACACTTCTTAACACCTTACCTAAGTCCGAAGATTCAACTCTCCAGTGGTCAACTTAGCAGATAAAGTGGGACATGTAGAGACAGACTGCACGTGTTTGGCTGTTTTCAGATTGAGCGCGTGCTGAAGTCCTCATGTACGCGCACATAGTCGGGATTCTTTTAATTCTCCAGTGGCATGAGCTCACTGGGGTACAAGGCAGCTGACCACCTCGGCTGTGTAAGTGATATGGCCGGCTGTAATGCAGTTTGTACGAGTGTCATGTGAGAATGCATGTGAAATCAGGGGAAAGATTGTATCAGGGGAAAGTGGAGACACAATACTCATCTACAAAAATGTACTCAAGTACTTTTTGAATGCTGCAAATATACGAATACTGTGTGTGCTTTTATGATAAATTTCTATATGAAAAAAGAAAAAAAAAGTAAACAGTCCAGAAGGAATGGGTCTTAAAAATATGCTATTTTTGTACCTGTCTCAAACTTGTATAAATGGTGGAGATTATTAGTAGTAGTAAGAGTTGTAGTAGTGGTAGTAGCAATTATACTTAGTAGTAGCGGTAACAATGGTCTTACTTGCTTGCAGGAGAAGGTTTTACAAGGGTGCTTGTAAAAGGTTACCAAGACAACATCAGTTGAGGGGTAAAAGGTACACAATGCAACTTTTCTCTCCACCACAGAATGATATTGAACCTGATTAGCGCTATTAGCGGTTCAATGATAATGAAAGCTCACGATATGGTGGGAAGGTTCACGATTAGGGATGTAAAGTTATCCAAATCTCTCAGTACGATATTTTTATGATATACATCTCACGGTACGATATTTATTGTGATATTTTGTGGAGACTAACAAAACTGTTAATATGCAACTTTTTCCTCTTAAAATGCCTTGACAAGACTTAATCCAAAGAATGAAGACTTAAAAGTACTTAGAACTTATTTCTTCATGTCGTCTATACCGAAACAGAGCAAAGGATCATGGTCTATGTAGTTCTTTTTTTTAGCTATTGCTGCACCATAACTCTTAATTTAAGCAAAGAGACTTTGATATATTCGATATAGAGGAATTTGATATATTGTGATGGCCCATAATATTACTGTGAGAACTTTGATGATACGATATCACAATATTTCGGTTACTGTTACATCCCTATTGACTATTTTGGATTTGTTCAATTACAGGCGTATATCAGCTAAATAATACCTTGAAGATCATGGAATTAGAATGGTGGTGTCATTTGATTGTCTTCATGAAGACAATTTTAATGCCATACTGTGGAGCATTCCAGGGAAACACCTTCACTAGAAAAGTTACATTGTGCACATTCTAAAGACATGATGAGTCCTAGACAAAAGTTGAACTTTGTAGGAGTACACATATGATCAAGTTATTAAGAAGCTAAATTCCCATTGTATTCTGACATCTAGGGACTAATACAACGGATTTATGATGTAACAAGTCCTCCACCCATGGCCCAGACCGCAGCCAACTCCCCACACTGACTCAAACAATAGCAACAACAGCCTCAGAAACACCCATGCTCAGATGAACTTGTATTTACAGTAAGCCTCCTCAAAGCCATTTCACTGCCAGCGCTTTCAAGATGGCGTCTCCCCGGCAGCGGACGGAACAAAGTGTCAGTTCTGTCCTCAAGATTTTGCGCAATTGACAAACAGAGGAGTGATTGAGAAAACATTATGGGCTGGAAAACACTTGTGATGAGTGCCAGTCTTTGACCAAATTAAGTGGCTGCTTTATAGTGTGAAGTACGGTATTCGGACCACAACAGTTGGACTATTTTTGGAAGGGATTTTGCTACCATTAGTTTTATTATTGCTGTGGTTAAAGTGACTCATTAAGTATTATTGTCTTTTGTAAAACATTATGGGATTTCTAGTTCTATTGAAATATAATGCAACAGAACCAGTTTGGCTAGGTGCTAAAGTTAGTAATCTTTGCCAAATTAGTGAAAGCAATGTTAATATTTTACCATAATATCCAATTTTGTATATCAGAGGTGTTTATTTTTTTATTTTTTAAATTAAGGGCCAGATACTGAAACA